TATATAAGACGTTGACAACGTGACGGGACAACAGAGGTAATGAGTAATTGAATGTATGCGGACAAAATATTGTTCGCCACGTGAGACATAGCGTTGTTATAGAGCTACTGTTGAAATTAAGTATATCGTAAAGTTATATTCAGAAAGAATAAACCAGTTTTATTTAAGAAAGGACTTGTGTCGCTAAAGTTTCGTCGGAACGAATTTACTGAAAATTAACTAACGACTGGAGGCGTAACAAAACTATTTCAAAGAACAATTCAGGTAGTGGCAGTGTTTTAAACTATATTATTTGAAGTCAAGCGCAAAGCTACACATACCGCTGTGCCACTGGAGGGCTGTAAGCTATATTTAAATTATTTATATTCAAATGTTTGTTTGTTAGAGGAAGTTTGTCATGACGTCACGGAGACGCAAAATCTAAAAACTTTATGAAAGTTTAGACTTCGGTAGAATCTGAAAGCTTCCAGTATAACACAAAACACGAGATTCTATGTAAATATTAAACGCAGTACATTATTCAGTTAACCAGTTCAGGTTTGGTTAGTCCGTGTATTCTTCGTTGATCAAGTTATTGAATTAATATATTTGTTATAGATCGGTTAGCGAGGAAATTCTACAAGTAAACTTGAAAGTAAATTAGGCGTACATTAATTTCGAAGTTTCTGTTGAAACATTATTCGTGAAACTAGGCCTACCAGTGAACACAGCCTGAAACAAACATTCATGAATAATTAAATAAATTTTTCATAGTTACTTGGATTAGACTTAACATATATACATTGTTTTTACCAAATAATCCGAAAGAACCCGCACAACTATAGAACACGGTAGAACAACAGAAATTATAGTTTTTACGAAACTCCACATGATCGACTTTTCTGTTTTTCTCTCAGAAACATAAACAATTTTGAAATATTGGGGTCCAAAAGATATGTTGGTCGTATCAGAAATTATCGAAGGTCACCCCTACATCCTCATTGTTTCTGTTCCATTTCCAAAAGTTGGCGGTTGGTGCTGTTGAATAGCTGTCTTTCCTCCAGTCAATCACCTCGAACTGAGAAACGAAGATTCCTAGAAGGCTCTTTGTGTAGCTTTGGACGAAAATTCTGAAAGAAAACAAAACTGTTGAATTCAAAGTTCTTTAGAGCCACCGATATTTCGATATTTATCCAAGTTATAAGAAAACTAGAATAATAATAATAAAATGTTGTTATTGATTTCATCAGTCATGACAGTTCTTAAAATTGACTTGTTTTGTTTCGAATACAATCTTAAACTTCTAACAGTTGAATTTTTTTCTTTTAGTTGCTTTATCCCTTTTGTTTTTATTTTATTTTCAATAGATGGCGCTACAACGTTCATTGAAAATTCTCTAATATTTTCAGCGTATGTGACAGTTGTGGTTTATTTACCACTTCATACTTTATAAAAAACATTTGAGTTGAATTATTTGGCTAGTTTACATTCGAAAAGGAATTTCCTTCAAAATTGAAGCCAGGGATATTGGCTCAAGGAATAGATTCAGTTTTAAGTTTGTATTTTTTTGATACTGTTATGATTTAATATTATTATTAATGATAATATTCAGTTGTAATTGTATTAGTATCACTCTATTTATACGTTATAATTAAGTTAATAACTGTGAAAGTAAAACTAAAAGAAAATATAACAATAGTATTAGTTATGGTTTACAAACTGGCTATGTCAATACATTCATCTTACTAGTTAAGTTGTTTGTTCCCCAGTTGCTTAATGATAAACCTGCAAGCTCACTGCAAAAAAACTGGGTTTTAATACTTGTGGTGGGAACAGCATTAAGAGTAAGAGTAAGCTAGTCAGATAGCTTAGCAACAAACAAACAAAGCTTATTCTTGTTCATGTGTACGGAAAGTTGTAGCCTATAGTTAACGTTTTTAAAAATTAAGTAGATTTATTTTTGACTGATTTACTTCTCTCCTTGTTGAATAGTTTATTGGATGAAATGATAGATGCTATTAGTATTAGTATCAACTTATGCTTCATGTATATATGAAGGCATAGTTACATAAATTTATGTGCATACACATAAATTAGTTATCCTTAAGATGATGGTAAGTTGAAATTGAGCAAAATGAATACATTGCATGTTAGGTATCTGGTATGTTATAAATAAACTGTTATAACAAGTTAGTTTCATGATATATGGAAAATTAATCTCTAAGATAACATTAATTAAACACTATCTTCATAGCTTTATCACAGTGCATTTTCAGTAATTGTTTTTTGTTTTTTTTTACAAATTCATATAATAGACTTTTTAATAAGATAAAATAATCTAATCTGCTTTTTAAAAGATGGCTTAAATTTGTGGATTTATCCAATAAAAAAAAAAGGAAAACTCTGAGTTAACATCTTCTTCTGCCACTAAACAAATTAAATACTGGTACTAATTTTTTAAAGTTTGTCAATTTCATTACTGTCAGGAACTCTGGAGGAATTTAGTTCTTTACAAATTGATAATATTGCTACTACCAGAATTTTAGAACTCGTATTACATTTCTGCAGTTAAGAGATGAGACTGTGCAGGAAATCAACCCATGCTAACCAGGTGAAAAATTACATGTTGTATTATAGCATAAAATTCTCAACTAATGTCTGATACATGAAGTGATGAACCACTTATGTTGACAGTGGATATGAAGAGCACAGCATTAAGAAATTGAGAATATTAACAAAAACTCCACATTTGTATTTGGGTAATTCTAAGAGACACAAAAGCACAACATAGTTTAAAAATTGTCTTTTATTGATGATCTTTCTATTTCTTTTTTAATACTGTGTTTACTTTAGATAAGTATTTCTTTGTCTAAGATGAATCAAAAAGCATTTATCTGAACAGACATTAATTTTATATTGTTATATACAAAAGGACATCTATAAAATTTTCAGAATTTATTATCAGTTAAAATTTCTGATTTTTTTTTTCTGACTTGCAATTAAAATGCCTTGAAGACTTAGAAAATGTTGTGTATATATATAAACATTATTATTCAAATCATTGAGACTACTCTTTCATAAGAAAGTAAATGGCATGACATCTCATATCTGAAGCTAAAACTTTTGTTCATTCCCTTTTACTGGGTTGTCTTAGTGACTTACTTAATGTATGTTCCAAAATTTAACAACATAAGCTTGTTGAAATTTGACTTGCATGTATTAAAGTCAAAAGCATACTTAAGTATTTGAACAATTAAGGGTTGTTTCATATATAATGGTTCCAAAATAATTTTAAAATACAAAAGAGAATCACAAAACATATTCCATTATGCCTCAAATGAATGATACTTTTTATTCAGGCTTGTATCTGTCCCTTTAAAACAAGCTTTTTATTTTAAAAAGAGTCATATTTCCAAACTCTTATTCTTTCAGTCTCATTTTGGTTATGTACTTGAAATTTATACAGAAAGTGAGTAAAATGATCTAGCATATGTATTTAGGTTTAATGTAAATCTCCTAAGCTGGCTAAACCTTGTGAAATATTAAGTTTACAGTCAAACCTTTAGTTAACATCAAGGCTACCCAACTGATAAAACAATGCAGTCTAATTTTTGTAAATAAATACACAAGAAAAGTATACTTAATTAGCTATATTGATTATCAGGTTGATGTTTAGTTTAGCTCTAAGTACTTACTTACTCTGGTTGGAAGTTATTATAGTATTCATTGATTTGAACATTAAGTCAACACAGTAAATAACTTACTGACTGAAGTTTTAGCTGATAGTGCACAGAGCATCAGCCAAGGCAACAGTAAGCTATTCAGCGAACTAAAATCATCTCTCATTCAAAATAAGAAGAAAAATAATATTTTACTTCTATTTAATTTTTGTATCAACTTAGATATTGATCTTCCCATCCACATACCAATCTAACAAAAGCTAGTTGGGTTCAATTTCCCAAAGCACATCATTGGCAAAAACCATTCTGTAAGTTTATAACTCAAACCAAAAAATAATTTTGTTTAAAAACATCTGTATCTAAGTTTCTAGATCTTAAAACTAATATCACTAATATTCAAGTTTATAGGATGAATGTCATCAAAGCCAGGAGCATTAGTAAGAAGTTTTGAAGTATTTTCACAGTACAATCACTTCTTCAATATAAGTGGATGTTAAGTAAAAATCCTCCATAATTTTGAAAAAGCTTGGTCAGCTTGTGGATCCATTCCTTACTTCACCAGTAAATATTCTAATAAAAACAATGCTAATCAATTTATCATGTTCTTTTCTTCTATAATAAGTTTCACCACAAAGTTTATTAAAGGGTCATGATTAACCTTGACCTTTTTGAAAAGGCCCATAGTAACTCAGTAGAGTTTTGTAGCTATTACAAGCAAAGTTACAAAGAACTAGCTTACTTCAAAAATTTAGGTAAAAGAATTCTCATAAATTCCTCACTTATTTTAACTTGTAATTAATGATTTTAGAGTAGGTTTAAAAGTATTATACAGTTGTAATTTTGGTTAATTGCAGGCAAGAAACATGGTATACCTCCATTTTCCATCACAGTTTACAGAAGAAGAAGAGATGCTACAAAAGAAATACCAGAAACTGAAAAGAAAAGTAAGTATCAGAATCGAGATATATCTGCTGTATTTAAAACAACCTCTACATTACTTTTTTTTTCTAAGACAGAAAGCCCAAAATTTTTAGTAATTCTCTATATTTCCAAATGTTTTTTGTAACAGCAATGAGCAGTAGGAAGAACAAGGTGACAAAAGACCATTTGACTCATCAAGTCCATTCCTTACTCATTAAAACAATCAAAAAAACATTTTAAAAAAATCATATGTTCTCCTTCATATCCATAAGTTTGTCAAATACATGTTTCATAGAGTTTATAATATAGTAATTACACTTTACTTTATTCCACTTCCAAAAAAAAAAAGAGACCACTCATACCTCCCATCTCTTAAACCAGATGTCGTTAGCATGCTATGAAATTCTTTCCAATTTGTTGATGTCTTGCTTCTTTTGTGTAAAGGGAACATATATACACTGAGTGATCACAAATAAATAGACACCTAATTTTTCGTCATTTAACTGATTTATGCTAACTAATGTGTATTCACAGAGCACAATATAAATGAAAATGGTCTGCACACTAATTATCTTGTGCTACAACATGCCTAGAACTCAAGGTTCTCTCGAATTGTCAGCTTTTGTTAGAGGAAGGATAGTTGGTCAAGCAGATGGTGGAATAAGTCAGCGGCAAATTTCGCAGAATTTGGGAATCCCGCTTTCAACAGTCAACAGAATCATCGTGCAGATCAGGAAACATGGCAAGGAAACAACTGGGTCGTCCTGGTCCATCGGAGAGGACAAAAAGGGCTGTCAAGAGGAGCATCGAAATGGATCCCAAATTAACAACTGCAGAAGTGGCCAAAATTGGTGGGATGAGCTCG